CCAAACGTGGTAGAGAGGCAGCCCTATTCCGACAGAACTTGCTTTGTTGTTTGGCAGGAGGTCACGGCACTTAATGGTCTCCTCAGTTGTAAATTTTACACAGCAGAAAGGAAAATAATTACTTTATGGAGCGCATGCATAAATGTTTATAAGCTTGAATCTATTTTCCATTTTAGGATCTTAATTGTTGCAGGGGAAAAAGCTTCCTGGAGGTAGTCCAAAATGAAAACCATGATTTTAAATTGCAGATGGACCAAAACCAAACCACAAGGCTTTTGAATTGTGAATGGTAAGCTTGGCTTCTAAACAGCTGGATCTGTTATTTCAAAGGTTCTGTTTTACTATGCTGGTTCCAGCACCACATCTTACTAGTGATGGAATTAGTGCATCATGTGAACATCTGCATTTTCTTCCTTTCCAGATGATAAAGCCATTCATTGCAGGGGTGTGATCTAAATATGGCCCAGTGGCTCAACCCAACCCCCAGGAAGGCGAGGCTGAGTTCCCTCTGTTCATTCTTTCAAATGTGGCTCTTAATGATGATTGAGACAACTGCTGCTGCCCCATAGGATCGTTTGTTGGTATAACTGGATGTCAATATTTGAGCTCGCAGTTTAACCAGTAACAAATTCAAATCCTAGTGGAATATAACATGGATTCACTGGGCACCTTTGAAAAAGATATTTCAAACAGGGTTGGTTTCTGTGTGTGAAATACTTAAAATACTGCAGCTCTCTGGAGCAATCAATAACAATATCTATGATTATAGAGCCTTTCTGTGCTTTCTCCTGATTTCTGCTCTATAACTAGATTTTTCTTACTAGCTTTCAGGTACGGAAGGAGGGTAGTCTGGGTTTCAATGTATTTCTGTCTTAACCTTTGAATTCTTCTCCTTTTCCTCAGCCCTGCCCTTTCTCAGTTATTATGTAACAGGAGCTCATACCACTGTCCCTTGTTTTTCCCCAACCTTACCTGATCACTCATGGGACACGGGTGGCGCTGTGGGTTAAACCACAGAGCCTAGGGCTTGCCAATCAGAAGGTCTGAACCCCTGCAACGGGGTGATCTCCCATTGCTCGGTCCCTGCTCCTGCCCACCTAGCAGTTCGAAAGCACGTCAAAGTGCAAGTAGATAAATAGGTACCACTCCGGCGGGAAGGTAAACAGCGTTTCTGTGTGCTGCTCTGGTTTGCCAGAAGCGGCTTAGTCATGCTGGCCACATGATCCAGAAAAACTGTCTGCGGAGCGGACAAACGTCGGCTCCCTCAGCCAGTAAAGCGAGATGAGCACCGCAACCCCAGAGTCGCCCGAGACTGGACCTAACAGTCAGTGGTCCCTTTACCTTTACCTGATCACTCACCATTTTCCTGCCTGCACCTTCATTAGACTGGTGATTTGCAGATCTTTATGCACTGGGCCCCTCATTTGGGTTTCTTACCTTAATGAATGTAGTCAGGAACAACACGGCAAGAAGACTATCCCAGCCATCCTCTGCCCTCCAACCTGAGAGTAAATCTCATTTATCTTCCAAGTGGACATTTATGGGATCAGACTGCAAAGGTGCAACCCAATGCACTCTATCCTGGGAGTTAGTGCAAACGAACTCAGTACATTTCAAGTGAACCTACATCAGAATGTGCTTAAAATTTTGAATTTTGGGGTGAAAGGTAATTTAAAATTAAAATATGGATTCTAAATTGGAATGGTGGATTAGAACTTATTTGGCAAAAAATTTAAATACATGTAATTACTCCCCTGTTAAATTCATGAGATTTTCAAGCGTGCACTTGATTTCTGTGCATTAGGATTAGGATAATTAAATAAACCTGCATACAGTTGCACACAACTAAAATCACCATTCTGAAGTAAAAGATATTATTTGTTTTTTAGATAATACGTTCATGCACCATAAGCGAATTAGGCATCATCTCCAAAGAGGCACTCCTTTTGTGTAGGAAAGAAGGAAGAAGAGAGATGCAGTTACACGGGGGGGGGGGGGATTAAGAGCATGTTGCACTTTTTAATTGACCAATATAGTTACAATCAATCAAGCTATTTGATTAATTAACTAAACATTGCCATCTAATTGGCATGAAAGATATTTCCCTTGTAAAATGCATGCATTCAAAGCACTGTCCTGTTCCAAACTGTTCATACCACATGATATGGAAAAATGTGATCTTGAACATGCAGTTTCAAAGAAATCATCAATTGGTAGGCACTGACTTCTCTTGATATACTAATTAATTAGTGATATTTCAGTGGGACGCAGAATCCACAGAGAAAGGCAGATCTGCAAAAGATTTGCTTGTATTTGTTGCAACAAGAAAAAGCCTCAATGTCTATAGCAGAGTGTTGGTTCCTTTTGGAATATTTTAAAATGGAATTACAGCCTGTGTATTTGGGAATGAACAGGTCAACTTAAATATTTCATTTCACAACTTGCTTGATAAGGTGATGAAAGAGGTGAAGTATCTGTCACTGCCAGGCAGCAATGCAAACCCTTTGCAGATATTGGGGTTGGAATTTGATTACATCTCTCAAATGATGTTCGATTAATTTCACTCACATTTTTCTATTCCTTCGAGTTCATGACTAGCCCTTTCTGATAAAGCACGAGTCTATTAGTAGGTAAGTGGGATAACAGCAATTTGCTAAGGGAGAGAGATAAGTCTGGGGAAATGGAATGATTTTCTTTCTGTATTAGATTAACTGAGCTATTTGAAAGATGGACACCCTGGAATGAATTAATGAGCAATATATCATTGGTTCAACTGCTAAAACACTATGTCTATAGTGTAGTACAGAAGACAAGTCTCAAATTCCCATAAAACAGACCAAATGAAACAAAGAAATGAGATCCAAATGCTGCCCCATGAGTCCAAATTCCGCACTCATAAAAAGAGGATTAATATGCAAATGTGATTACCAGGACCTAAGCAGCCCTAAGGAAGCAAGTATTGACTTACTTAGTTCAAACTTCTGACCCTAACGTTTGAGTTTGCACAAGATTCTGCAATGGTGCAAAGAAAAGCTGTATTGTGGCGGGAAGGCACTTGCATGGACAAGATGGCAAGTGTAATATATAAATGAAGGGGAACTTAACTAGAGGGAGATGGAAGCATGAAAACACCTTCATCTGCCCAAAAAGGGAAAAAATACTGGCAGCATTTTGCAGATGCTGGCTAGATATTCTCCCTTCCACTAGCTGAGATCTGTGTGAGCTGGCAGTCATTTTATTTTTTAAAATAAAGAAAACAGAGGTTATTATCAAGCTAGCAGAGTCTTTCCTCTGTCTTTCCTTTCCCCTGTTAATCCTTCCTCCTCCCAAAGCTGCTCTTCCGACCTGTGGAAGGAAAGGCTGTGGGGGGAAAGATCCAGCAATTCTCTCTTGCCTCTGTGTGTGAAAAACCAGCTTTAAATTGAGGAGACTGGGAGAGGACTAAGCAGCCTTTCTTGGTGTGGGTGGGTGTTCTTCTGCTGCTCAGAAACAGCTGGCTGGGGGGTTAAACAACAACACAGGAAAGAACCAGAACTCTGGGTCACCTGCAGTTTGAGTCTTGGGAAGATGCATTTCTCATCAGAAACCAGGTTCTATATAGAATGTCATCTTATTCTGAATGCAAAAGAACATACATCAGAAGTCGATATAATTACTTGGTTCTGTTTCTCTTAATTCTACAAATTCCTATTCCCTCCCTCCCTCTCCTTCCCTTCTTTTTCCCTCTGTCACATACAGAGACACAAAATGAATTGCATATGAGGCATCCAAAACACGTTTTTCCATTATATTTGGGTGGAGTCGGTGTGTTTTGTAAATGAAAACCTACGGGGAACAGAATGCAGTTCTTGGCTCACAGGGAGGGCATTGCTCAGCATCAGACTGGGGGGGGAGCAGGGGGCAGAGGAAAGGGAATATGCTGAGTGAAGAAACCCGAGTCCAAGGTTTGGGGACCAAGGGGCACCTCTGGAAATCTAAGACACGGACAGCACTAGAAAATATTCATTTTTGCAGAAGAATAGCTGCTCAGAGCCTGCCCACTCCTACCCCCCCCCCGGAAAAAACACAAATACTGTAAGTAAAGCACAGACACAAAATGCAAGCACACACCCTCCCCCAACAAACCAACAAGAAGCCCCCCAAACCCCTCATTTATTAAAAAAAGTAAACATTGAGAACAGGGACTTGGTGTGGATGGCAAGGGTGTTCTGCTCCCCAGCCGCTGCTCACAAGAAAGGCCCCCAATATCCCTTTCACAAAAAATTAAAAAAAGTAATTGCCCATATGTTTTGTTTATTTCTTTAGTTCATAAAAATTTTATACAGTGGTACCTCGGGTTAAGTACTTAATTCGTTCTGGAGGTCTGTACTTAACCTGAAACTGTTCTTAACCTGAAGCACTACTTTAGCTAATGGGGCCTCCTGCTGCCGCTGCGCCGCCGGAGCACGATTTGTGTTCTCATCCTGAAGCAAAGTTCTTAACCCGAGGTACTATTACTGGGTTAGCAGAGTCTGTAACCTGAAGCGTATGTAACCTGAAGCGTATGTAATCCGAGGTATCACTGTACTGCTGGGTTGTAAAAAGCCTCAAAGCGTTTTACAAAAGAGAAAACAGTAAAACCAAGAAAAAATTACAACCCTACTTCAAAAAAATACAAAACTTAAAATTCTAAATCAGATTTAAACTACCTGGACTTTCTAAGCACCCATGTAGGCTTGTCTAGAGAGGAGTGTTTTTAGCTGGCATCGAAAAGAGTCCAGTGAAGATGCCTGCTTGGTCTCCCTAGGCAGGGAGTTCCCAAGTGCAAGTGAAGATGGGTACATTCCTAGACGTACCAAGACTCTTACGCGGGATCCCAAATATAGAAATATATAGAAACTAGAAGACGTTTACCACAACAGATGCAGAGATGGCTTGTTTTCACACATAACACCTTTGGCATGCTTTTTTAAAAAAGTAATTTTTATTTATTTTCAATTATTAACATTCCAACTGGTGTCAAATCAAATCGAATCTTGCTACATCATAATACAAACAGTAAAGCCAATTATTCATTTGGCCTGCTTTGGAGGAACACCACTGACCTGACACAGGCTCAATTGTTGGCATGTGTCTGTCTTGGGAGACAATGTAAGAGTTTGCCTTCAGGGGTGAGGTCAATCCGTTGGAGAGTCACAGCGCCTGCACACCAATGGAGGGCAGACATGTTTTGGTTTTTTTAAAAAATATATTCAAAATTAAAACAAGACATATTATCCAAAAACATATCATCCTTGCCCCCCCCCCATTTTTCCTCCCTCCCTCCCCCCCCCACAAAACCCACCTGCCCCCACCCCCCGCCTTCCCTCAGTTCCAGTCTTTGGTTTCTCTGAGACTGCTGTTTTCTGCATGTTACAAAGTTGTATAGATCCTCAAACTATTTAGCTGATTATTATCAATAAAAAGTTTGTGAATGTTTATTCAAAACCTGCCAAGGAGTCCAGTTCACTTTGTTGCATCTTCAGATACTTTGTAAAGGGTTCCCATTCGTCCTTAAAGTCACAGTTATCCTTGTCCCGTAGCTTATGTGTCAGTTTTGCCAGTTCTGCATAGTCCATCCATTTTTCTTGCCATGATTCTTTAGTTGGGGTTTCTTCAGTCTTCCATCCTTGTGCTACCAGAGGGCAGACATGTTTTGCTGCAGCTGAGGCAGATGAAGGTATCCGGTTTTGCTGCTACATGGATATTCTTCTGCTCATGCGCAAAATACAAATGTAGCCTTTTTCTCTAAACATCAAGATGCCTGAAATTAACCACCTACATTTTCAAAAATGAAGTCTTTTGGTGGGAACTGAACTAAATGCAGCTAAATTTTGGAGTTTTTATATTTAAGTGCCTAACCTACACTGTGTTTTGTTCACTGCTACCAATGTCAAGTAAATGCATACTGATAAGACTTATACAACATAAATCTGCTGTTTGTTCACCAATCAATCTGACTTTCATTTGTAATACATATGTATAATGCTAGCTGTAGCTCTGATGCCAATTGAGGGGTCAAATTTGTAGATTAATCTTGGGCATATGCAAAGTTAAACTAAAATTTTGCTTCCTATGGACTTGTGTTCTCCAGCTGATACAATGTAAGAGTCACATGAAAAAATTGCTTAGGAAAGTTTCACTGCCGTCCATCATTATATGCCACACATGGGGTGTGAAATAAAGAAGAACAATGAAAACCAAAAATATAAAAGGAGAAAGGAAATTGTAAACAAGTCTCTGTTTTCTGGTACGTATGCACTTGGACATTCACAACCAGGTCCTTAGAAATTGTCAGACCTAACCGGAAGAGTCCGCGACCAGAAGGAGGAGGAGTATCAGGAAGAGTGGAATAAATTTAATGATTATCTAGTTAAATTTGTTAAGTTAATTTAACTGAAAATAGCTTGCACATACTTAATTGGCTTAGGATTTTATTTATGTTAAGTGATGAATTAATATGTTTAATTCCATAAGGTGAAGATTTAAGGATGTTTTAAGTTTTTATGTTAAATTTCATAAGAATTGGGATTTGGAAAACCGTTAAAAGGGACATGCAATGAAATTCAGCCAAGCGGAAGCGAGGAAGTCACTTAACAAAGTTAATAAGTGTAATTTTCAATAAGGCTATGATTTATGTTTGTTTGTCTTGTTTGTTTGTTTGTTTGTTTGTTTGTTTATAATATTGTGAAAACCAAGAATTTTTTGGGGGGGGGAATAGAAATTGTCAGATAATTTTGCAGGGCAGAAGGAAGTAACTTTCCTCAGCAACAGAATTTGTAATCATATAAAAAATTAAGCATCTGAGAAAAACTTCTGAGCACTGGCCACCTAGAGGATGGAACCCTGTTCTGGTCCTCGGTAAAAATCCTCAGCAGAGTAGGCTCTGTTTAAATGCTGGAAGAAAATAGAAAGGATTATTGAAGCTGTGTTAAGGAGCAGTAAACTGCCTGTTTAAAAGTCACTTGCAGTCTTGGCATCCGGGATCTGTGTTTACTAGGGAGATCTGCCCAAGGACTCCTAACTCACCCAGTCCTAGGGAATAAATGGGAGTGAATAACCTCATTTTCTCATTTAAGGCAGCGAGAATACCAAGCTTCTTTTAGAAGTGAGTGAAAGGAAAAGCCAACTCACTGAGATCTTGCCATTTCAAATTTCAGCATGTGTTGGACTTCTCTCATCAGTAACAGAGGCAATTTTAGGGCAGCACGACCAGTTTCCCCTCACTGGGCACCAAGCAGAAAGGGCGCCCACATGCCACCCTGTAAGCACTTGTCCAGGCCAGCACAGAGCAAGGGCTGGAAGGGGGCACCAAATTTTGGCCTGGCTGAGGAGCCATAGTAGCAAAGTCTGCCTCTGTCAGGAAATAAAGGCATGTGCCGCTTGTTTTATCACACACAGGGGGAAGCGCAACTCTCTCTTTGCTTCACTTGCCCGAGGTGGCTGCCTCACCCTGGCTGTTCCCATGTTGTTTGGGACTTTAAATGCTAGAAGCAAAACCTTGAGCTGGGAACTAGAAGCTTGGAACCAGGAGCATAGCTGTCAACTTATAGATTTGAAAATAAGGGACCAGCAGCCTCGAAAATAAGGGCTCAGCAGCCAAAATAAGGGATTTTGGCTTAGCTTATACAGAAATCTGCCACTGATGGAGCCGTGCTGCTTTGGCTGCCACTGACTGTGTTTTGCAGGGGGTTGGACTAGATGAGCCTAAGGGTCTACAACTCCGACCAAAGAAGAGTGGCAGACAAAACTGATGAACGACGTCGAGATGGCAAAGCTTACAGGCAGAATTAGAAACCAGGAAGAGGACCTCTTTAATAAAGAATGGAGAAAGTTTATAATTTATTTGAAAAGCTTTTGTAAAGAGTTACATACATTGGTAGGATTGACAGAAAACTTGTAGTAAAAATTTGAATTATGGATGGACAAATGATTTATAAAAATAGAGTTATGAAAGGGATGCAGAGGGGGAAATCACTACATTAAGATGCTGCACTGGTTGGAGGGGATGCTAAGCAGCACGTCGGGGCTGCCGTCGTCCTGGCGTGAGGAGTTCGATCGACCCCCGCCTGAGAGAGAGAGAGGGAGGGAGGGAGGGAGGGATAGGGACTCTTGCCCACGCCGCCCACGAGCCCAGCATGAGGCAGTTGCGGCACTGCGGTGGCCGCTGAAGCGCCGCCCTTCTGCGTCCCTCCCTATCCCCTCCTCTTCCTCCTCCCTCAGGCTTACTCCTCAGCCGCCGCTGCCGCCTCCGGCTTCCCCTGGCAGTGCGGCAGAAGTCTCGCAAGAGAGGGGCTGCCTGCCCACCCACGACGTGCCCCTGAGGGGAAAAAGGGAGAGACAGAGACGCGGTGCTCTCTCTCGTGGCGGAGGACCCCGAGCCGCTGCTTCCCTCCCGAGCCGGGCGAGCATGAAACCCGGGAAATTTAAGGGACATCATCAATAAGGGACAGCAGCAGGACACGGCGCTGGGATAAGGGAGTTTCCCACCAAATAAGGGACAGTTGACAGCTATGACCAGGAGTTCTGGGACAAAACAGCAGTTGGGACCATAAGAATGACAAAGGATATAGGAATCCACAGAACTCATGCAGAACCTGTTGCTTAAGCAAGGCTCCCCATGGCCCGTCTTCATGGCTGGCGTCAGTTCAGGGCCTCCACCAAGAAGGCTGCCACCTCTTCAGATCCAGCAGCGAAACCATAATTCTGAACCAGGAAGGCAGTAGGGCAGTGAAACTGCGGTAGTCGTTTTTGGAAGGGGAGGGGCGGATATTACATATGAATTTATCAGCGTCTGTAATACTTACATTTTCATGCGATACGCATTTAGTTACAAACAAAAATGGTGATTCACATCTGAATTTGTAGAGAGCGAACAAGATCTTCTAAAATGGCGTGGTGTTCTTTGGCAGCACATTAGCCTGCAGGCAGTTTCCTAATCACAGTAACCATTTGCATAATGTAGCTGCACTTAATCCAGTATTGAGTAATTGTAGCCATAGATCACCGGGATTCATTCCGACGGCACAGCTTGAGAACAGATAAAGAAATCATTTTAGGCTTGCAAATTGAAACTTCCCGTATTGATATTGAGTGTAATGGTGGTGAAAAATATGTTTATGAACATCCAAATGTACTGCAGATGGATTCAGTGGGAGCCTGATTGCTCCACGGTAATATTACAATAAATGCAGGATGGAAAACACTCATTTTGCAGTGCAGAGTATTTTTATTGTTGCTGCCTTGTGATGATTTTATGGAATAAGGCCCTTCACCCAGTCCTGGAGCTGTTTCTGCAATGAATACCAAAGAATTCCCCCCTCTGATTTATTGGTGTGCTTATTGCGTTTCTGATGTAGTCCTGAAGTTAAGGAGATATTTTGGTTTTAATTTCTCTGGTAGAAAGGCTCGTATTAACCATAAATTTTACACAAACTCAGCACTTGAAACAAAAACGGTACAAAATGCTTTCAATGCAAAATAACTAGTTGTAAAATGACAAGAAAAGCCCAAAATGAATATTTATTTTAACATTATAGTTTGCTTTTCCTCTCAGCAGCTAAATATTACAGACAACCTGGTCTCCTTTGGGCTACATTTGTATATGGTGACTCATCTTCATGCTCTTAAGGTAAATGTACACTCAGGGCAAGAACAATGGGAAACACCAGCGAACAAACCCCAGCTCCAGTTTTTCAGCAGAAATTACTACATTTGGTTGAGTAGAACCTTATTCCCTGCCCCCCCCAGCAAAAAAAATAATTTGTGCAAATATTCACTTTTATCCCATCGAGATAAATGCTATTTTCCATTTCTCTGGTGGCTGTTGGTTTAGTGCTCTTCTTTGCACATTCCTGACTGCTCCTTCTTTCTCCACTTCCCAGGAATAATTGTGTGGCTAATTGCACACTCAGACAAAGTGCACTTAGTGAAGGGGATTACATCATAATGCCACATGAGCCAATCAGATTTGGATGTGTGATGATTTTACTGAGGACCAGTGAAAGTGAGGGAAAGTAAATGAATTCAGTGACTATTTTCATTAGAAGTGTCAAAAAAGGGGAAGAAAAGGGGGCATTTTTCTTCAGTGCCAAAAATTACACAAAAATGCTGTGAGAGCAAATTGAGCTATTTAAATTAATTGCATATTTAAAACACTAAGTATTATAGAGGAATATTGAAGATCTGTGTTACAATGATCTTGAAGCAGGGTTAAATTATTTGTTATTGTGAAAATACATAATTAATTATTGTTTGGTGCAATTGTAAGGCATTAATAGGTTTAGGAGACTAGGAAGGCCATAGCAAATGAGGATTTTGATGTGTAAATATATGTATTTTTATATGTGTTGTCATACAAATTTCTATATTTATTATTTTTAAAATAACTTGAAATGTCCATGTTGTTCAGTGCTATACAATGTTTACTTTTGAGCACCTGTTGCTTGAAATTAAATCACATGCTTTCTGCAGGGTCCTTGCAGACACCAAATTTACTGCTGTGCTGCCACTTGTGGCTTCTCACTCAGTGCACTCTGCAAAGCGGCTGGAATTTGCCAGCAATTGTAGGCGGAAGAACAGAAAGTCACAATGAATATTGCACACTTCCAAGAGGAGTAAGGGGTTTCCTCCCTCTTTTTTATGACTTGTAAATCTTCAAAGGTATTTGAGATTTCAATTACATGGTTTGGATTTCCTGGAAGTATTTTTTAATTTTATATCAGTGCCACTCTAGAATTTATACCATTTGTTCTACTGCTAGCTTTTACATTTTCAAAGAAAATGCTTCTTTGTACTGCTAGCCTTTGGTGCAGCTTGAAATCTTTTTGTATCATGCATAGTCTTACCTAATTGCAGCTACATAATACCACTTCTTATCCATATCAAGACTATTACAAACTGGGCTTTTCATCATTCTCAGCAATGCCTATTTCTCTCTTGTCACCCTCTTTTTAATTTTTTTGTTTGTTTTTAGTTTAACAGAGATTCTCATGAAGAACTCAAAAGCTTGCTTACTTCTTTATAACTTTTTAGTTGGTCCTAATAAAAGCATTATACCACAGTTGCTTTTGGATTCCCAACCCCCATAATAGACCATTACAGGGGTCTACAGTTATTGCTTGGTTTGAGAAATCTTTTTCCCTGAAACTAATACACAGCAGCAATTATCTGTACCAAAGGTTTTAGTCAAACCTTTCTTGCAATTTATTTCTCCCATGGAACATTGCTAGGATTTGTTATAGAATCAGTTAAGATCACATTCATGATTCTGCCCTTAAAAGAGCCAACGTAGGTTTATCTGATATTTCTCTAATCCATAGGAGGAAAAGGACAGCCATGAAGTAAGGAAACTCTTAGCAAAAAAATGCCCAACTCTGTTTACAAAGGAAGATATTGCTGGGATGTAGGGCCTCTTCTTCAGTAGTTAAGCAAGCTACTCACAACTGGCTAGCAAAACAGAATAAGAAAATAATAATATCCAGCACTTTTGCAATTATTTTGCCTTGCTTGCTTCTTATGAAATGTTTCAGCTTCACAACTGCACTATATTTGAATTAATGAAGTACTGACATGGTATACAGTGGTACCTTGGGTTAAGAACTTAATTCGTTCTGGAGCTCCGTTCTTAACCTGAAACTGTTCTTAACCTGAGGTACCACTTTAGCTAATGGGGCCTCCTGCTGCCGCAGCGCCACTGCCATGTGATTTCTGTTCTCATCCTGAAGCAAAGTTCTTAACCCGAGGTACTATTTCTGGGTTAGCGGGGTCTATAACCTGAAGCATCTGTAAGTGTCTGTAACCCGAGGTACCACTGTATTTTGCTCCTGGCAGAGAAGGACATTTTTCCATACATGTGCTGGCAGTCTTACCTGCTTACAGAAAGGCTGGCTTTATTTTTCAAAGAGAAGCGTTTCTTAATTGATTCAATGCCATGGTTTAAAGGCGTTGATAAAGGTGCTTTGGTCTGTGGCACTCAATATATGTGTGTGTGTGTGTGTGTGTGTGAGAGAGAGAGAGAGAGAGAGAGAGAGAGAGAGAGAGAGATTTCACAGAGAATGCTTTTCTTGACAGACAAGATAATAGACAGCAGTGCAGGAAATGTATGAGACACTGTCATCCCAGGTAAGAAAGTCAAAATAGACATTAGAGTCGCCTATGGCTGACTGATTAGGTGTGTCTGCTTTCAGCATGTTACAAGGAAGGACAGCTGCTTGCCATGGTTGTTTGTACGGCCATTGATCTCTGAGCCTAAGACTCAATGTGATCCCTAATCCACCCTCCCACCACCCTTCTGGTTCTCTGGCAATGGTGGGAGGATGGCTCGGGAATGCTGAAAGTGGTATGAGCAGGAGATGTCAGCAACATAGTCTGAAGCTGACATAGTTACTTGCACCTCCTATTTCCTCCCCCTTTCTCTGTTGTCTCCTGTGTCAAATGTTAGGTTATAGGTCTCTTGCACTTTTTTAAAGCATCAGGCACACAGATGGCACTATAGGAACAAAACAAATGATCTACAGTGTAGAGACAGGAGGATACCCGAGAGCAGTTCTTTTCAGCAAGACAATGAAGCTTGGGCCGGGCTATGTTTCAGGCCTCACCAATTCTCACTCTGGAAGTTGCATGGGGGCTTCTCTGTAACCATCCTGGAAACCGTCACATAAATGACCGAAATGTCAACACATGCGAATGATCATAATCCCAGATGAATTTTGTGAATGCCTGTAAGGAGAAATACATGTTTTAACTTTCTGGAAATACATAAATAAATGCTGACAGTCAAATCCTGCAGTCTGTTCTCATTTCCCAGTGTATCTTGTTAAGTTCTTGGACATTCACAAAATTAATCTGGGATTCTCTATGTTGTACCAGGGAGCGATTGCCCGCCCACTTCTAAGCCATTACAAGAGGCCATTGACAGAGGATCTCGTGGAAGAGCAAAGCAGCACAGCATGCTTCAGGCATAGTGTGAGGAATGGGGTAGATGCCTGCTATTTGGACTAAATGCAGCCCAAGGGGGAGGACCTGCACTCACTGGAGAGGGTTCTGGTTCTTACTGTGTTTTCCCCTACATAATGTCCTGAAGCCCCCTATCCTGTCCCTTCCTCTTCTGCTACTGCTACTCACCAGCCAGGTTGCCAGGTTTCCTGAGACTTTGGAGCAGAGCCTGGGAGCTCAGAGGTGATGCCGCTCCGAGCAGGAAGCAGCGGCTGGTGGAATGTGGCCATTTATTTCCTCAAGAGGCTTCAATATGTCCCATCAAACTCTTCCTGAGTCGGTAGCCTCTTTACTGTGGGTTTCCAATACGTATTCCATGTCTTTATTGCCAGCCTCTCTATCACTATCTCCCACAGTAAGAGAAATAGATTGATACTGGAAGAAAAGAAAGGTGGTTCAAATTTCAGAATGGGAGAAGACTCGAGCACAGGGACCATGTGAAAGAACTTCCCACCACCACCATTTCGGTCTCCTTACCCTGGGATTTAACTCATTTTAGATATGGCACAGCAGTTCACAACCGTGCCCTCCTGTAGCAAGAACATTGCTAAGACCCTGAGGCTGAATGATAGAAGGCTTGGGGCTTCCCTTCCTTGCTTGAGGAGGGCTGTCCACAGAAAAGGCTAACTCTAGTTGCCACCATGCTAATTTCACCTGCAGAAGGTCCTCTGATCCTGGTCTTAAACTCAGGAGAAGACCAGTCCCAAGCCACTCAAGGCTTTAGAGGACACCCAGAGACACACTGGAAGTGAGCACAGATCTTTTAAGATTGGTGTTACATGGGCAGAGCACATAATTACATATAAAATACGTAATTATGAAATGCTTTTAAAAAAGTGTAAACGGGCCATGGGTTGCCCCACATTCACTAACACTGCTCTTGTTACAGTTCTGAATTGGCCTCAAGCAAGGAAGCTTCTCTCCCTTTGTGTTTTTCCCCCTGAACAGAATTGTTATCAGCTGTAATATTGAGAGCAAGTGATCAACAGAACTATTTAACTGTAAAAAAGAGGGAAGAGTAGCCAACTACTATTTGATTGGGAGCTTATATGCTACATTTCACCATGGAAGTGCACTTTTTATGAATTAAGCTCCATTTCAACAACGGCTTCTTATATAAAGCAACACTGGCATGGCCTGAATGTCACAAGGGTAACAGAACAACATGAGGGCTCTCTTTCTGGTAGATAAATCTCAGCTTGCTAGCGTGTCTGGGGCCCCAGGAACACTGGAATAATAACTACCCCCTGTCTCCAGTTAGCTGAATGTATCTTTAAAGGATATTTCAGGCTGTAGAGATTTGCTTCCTGTGTGGATGGAGGAGAAATGATTCCTGAAAGCACCTTTAAAATAAGTTTATGGTTACCATGCTTGCATTAAAAACAAATCTGCTTTAACATAACATTTTGTCTAAGCATGGTCTTTTCAGTGAGGTTTGGACAGAGGGCTGCCAGTTTTGCAGATCTCTAAGTGGTCCCTTGCCTCAGGATCATTGAAATTCCACCCTATGCCTTCGCACCACTTACATGGTTACAATAGGCCTTCTGTTAGCTTTGCTCACACAGGCAAAACTGCGCTCCAACTCAGGGGGTTCCTTTCCCTAATGAGCACATCTGGCCTTTATCAAGCACTTTCTGGTCATTCCATTTTCAAGATATACTTCTGCCATGCCCATTCTTAAATTCCAGTTTGGATTATTTATTCGAGTTACAACTCATCCTTTTCACAGAAGCTACTAAATACCAAATACACACACACACACACACACACACACACACACACACACACACAATGTTTAGCACACAAAGAAAGTTTAAATTGATGAGCCAAAGTTGTTGGTGGATGCTTCGCTTCTGATCAATAATGATAATTTAAATGCT